GGGGGGGGGGGTCGTATTAAGTAGGTTAGTTGAATACATGCCTTGTCAAGTAACTTTAGGAGGATATTTTAATATTAAGCAAAGATTGTTCCTCTGTTAAAATTTTTTTTTTTTACTATTTCTCAAAGACCATTCAACTTAAACCCATATACATATAATAGGGTATCTCAAAGACCATTCAACTTAAACCTATATACATATAATAGGGTATCTCAAAGACCATTCAACTTAAACCTATATACATATAATAAGGAATTATGTAGCATACATTCCCCGTGCTTGAATTTTGCTTGACTCAAATTAGATCCCTAGCAGACGTTAGCGTTTGTTATGGGCGTGGCCTATTCGTTTGATGTATCTTGTTTACAACCGTGTTTACCAATTAAACATGTTAGACTGTCTCCTAGTATTTTGTAGAGTGATCTCGATTTGTTCTAGAAAAATAAAGGTATTTTCTAGACGCGTCGGTAGACCCACATATATAATGGATTGACAGGCACAGAGAGAGAGAGAGAGAGAGAGAGAGAGAGAGAGAGAGAGAGAGAGAGAGAGAGAGAGAGAGAGAGAGAGAGAGAGAGAGAGAGAGAGAGAGGCGTACATAATGGATGACATGAATGTCGTGTCGAGCTATCATTGACGGGCAAGACAAGAGAGAGAGAGAGAGAGAAAGAGAAAGAGAGAGAGAGAAAGAGAGAGAGAGAGAGAGAGATATTCAGACGGTGATTCAGATACGTTTTATTAACGTTACGAGACGTGTATTATTCTTTGTGTGCTTATATGTGTTTATTCTCATTCTTCATTCATTCATTGGCACATTGTACTAATTGTGTACCGGTACCAGTTCTACTATACTCTGTAAGTTGATGATTTATAATTATATTTTTTTGTTTTGTTATTGTATTATAACTAAATTAAATCATATTAACTGTAACTGGCTACTGTTTTGGGTGTCGTATCTTTAATATTGTTGACTATATGGTATCGTCCTTTGTTAGGCACTGTTCGAGCTAGTCATCAATTTAAAATAGGAGATTAATTTCTCCGAATACAAGTCAGTGCGTAACACATATAATAGGGTATCTCAAAGACCATTCAACTTAAACCTATATACATATTATAGGGTATCTTAAAGACCATTCAACTTAAACCTATATACATATTATAGGGTATCTCAAAGACCATACAACTTAAACATATATGCATATGAGATGGTATCTCAAAAA